GCTACCTAGCGATACCTAGCTAATTAGCAATAGCATATTTTGTAAAAATGTAGCTTGCTCCTTTTTTAAAAGTTGTTTGGTTTGTTTGTGTGTTTGGATTTTGTTGCTTTTGAGATTTTTTTATGAGTTTAATTAAGTTATAAATTTATAAAAAGTTAGTTTAATGTTCACAGAAAGTGTTATCCATCCATCCTTTTTCTGCTGCTCACACAGGTCTGGATGTGAAAGGCAGTAGTCTAAGCAGAGACACCCAAGCCTCCCTCTCCCCAGCCAGCTGAGAGATATAATCTCTCTCCAGCGTGTTCTGGTTCTGTCCCAAGGCTTCCTCCTCAGAACAGCTCACCCAGGAGGTGCCCCTGACGGCCAGAACGTAGGTCGACCGCTCTTCACCTCAACAGACAGGTACAAGTGGAGGGAGTTTAAGTTTATACTTAAACTCCCTCCACTTGGGGAAGGACCTTGTTCTTAGAGTGGCCATTCCACCCTTTTCTGACTGAGAACCATGGCCTCAGACTTGGAGGTGCTAATTCTTATTCCAAGCAACACACTTGGTCAAAAACTACCTCAGTGCGAGTTAGAAGTCCTCACTCGGTGAAGCTGACTAGACCACTTCATCCATGAAGGATTCACCAAATCTGACACCCTCCACAGCTCAGTTCCTACCATAAAAATAGAATCAGTGACAAAGTTCAGCCCCTGCGATGTCCAACACCTCCAACACATTGCAGACTCCTTTTTTGGAAACAGGAAAACAAGTCCATCTTCAAACTGAAATAAGTTAAAAAGCATATTGCCAAAAAAAACAGGTAACTTCTTATTTAATTGTACGTTAATTGTCTCGTGCTTCTGCGAGTATGACAGAGCAAAGTCAAGTTAAAAATGGGACAATTTTTTACTCAGTGGTTTGGATCAAAGAGAACTAACTGCAGATGTAGTGGAAGCTTTCCTGTCACTCCAGCCGGCTATGAGCCTAAAAGACAAACTCGGGGATGGAACCTCGACTGCGCTTTTCCCGCCTGTTTGAACACAAGGACAGAAGCTGAGCTTCAAACAGAGCCCAAGCTGGAGTGACGCCTCACAGATAACTACCTACAGCTCTGTCATTTTCTCTTTCACAGCCTCTCTTTGCTTGTTTCTACGGCCCGCACGTAGGTTCACTAGCTGAGGCTCTGCTTTCGGATCTGGCACTCTGCAATCAGATGTGACATGCTGAAGGCTCGGATGACAGCTGCGAAGACAAGGTCACACAGTCACCTACTTTTAACGAAGGATACGTACGACTCCTCTTGACAGACTTGTGCAGCGCTTGAAAAACACATTTACGTGCTGCCTGCATACACACTGTACGCCTGCGCGCACCTTCATTCACTCACACACAAACTCGTATACACACTCACAGTCACAACGCGGAGCCGGAGCATTTTGCAGATGGGGGTCTTTTCTCGTGCCTGTGCAATCTCAGAAGCAATTACCTATTAAAATTTCATCCTTCATCCTTCCAGAATGTTTAGGAAAAGATTATAACTACTGGGAAGGTAATTAAGCCAGCAAATGGGGAGCTGCATTGTGAATACTGAGAGATATGTATGTTGTGTTTGTGTGTGAGTGTCTGCTTTATCTTAATAATACCAACAGTGATGCCCACCTAAAGCTCTTGAGTGTGTTATCCCAAATGACAAGAGAAAGAAGTCACAAGGATCGCTGCTGTTTTACGGTAAAACTTCACAACTAACGTCTTCATTAAGTGGAACAGCAAAGGTCGCAACTATGTCAAATGTAGACAACATGGCCAGTAGAGAGCTCTGTCATTCATCAGTGATCTTTGCCTTTGTACGTCTGGATGTTGCCACTGAGATCATTTGACTCGTCGCACGCTCAATCGTCCAGGTAAGGAAATCTGTTCATGTAGACAGCAGGATTTCATGTTCAGTAGGAGGAAACACAACATAAAGATGAATAGGTCCCTTTTTATGGTTTTCTCCTCTTTCTTGTCCTTACTTTCCCCTCTTTTTTCCTCATCCCTCCCCTCTTTGTCTCTTTGATGCTAAAAGAGGAGCCTTTTAAGGATTCAAACAAAGTCTCCATTTTTTTTTTTTTTTTTTGCGGGGGGATGAAAAAAAAGTCAACAAACCTGCCCATCTGGGTAATTTATAGGTTGGTGGGTTCTGGTTCAAGAAGCAACCTCAATCTCCATTTTTAATATGCAGGATTGGGGGTGGACATAATGAACAGAAACCCCGGACTTGTGTGTTGCTGATTGATTCTGGGTGTTTCACACTTGTGTGGGATATTCCTCAAATAGACTGAACCTTATAAATGATACAGCAGTGGCGGTCATCAATGATTCCTTCACAGACAACTGGCATTCTGGCTGTCACACAGGAAAAAGGAATTTCTCTTCTGTTAAATAAACAAAGGAGACCTGCCAGACCAGGTTCAATCATGCCATTAATAGGGCAATCTGGCCATAAGCTATAATCAATAAGTGCTTTTGCACTAAAATAGATTTTCCAGCACAATCTTTCGCTATATTTGAGCAGACTCGCTTCATGTGCACAGAGTGCATGACAGTCCCTTTAACCCGAGTACTTATCTTTACATTGCAATTACCACTGTCTTCAGTCTTCCTCTTCTTCTTCTCCTTCTTCCCTCCATCTGTCCTTCACATTCACAGTGACACTTGTAATGATAAATCGCCTTGCCCTTTTTCAATCTATTTATCTTCTGTTAATCATTTAAATAAGAATAACACGTTGAGTAAATCCATACCTAATTCACCTCCATTCCTGCAACCCTAATAAATCGACTGCAATGCTTATGGAAGTTTGAGGGAGGGGTCCGTAAACCAATCAGGTGGTTGTCGTGTGTGTGTGTGGGGGGGGGGGGTCCTGGCAGATCGTGGAGGTTAATAACATTCCACATGATTACCCACAAGCCAGAGGATTAGAAGGTTAAGGGGAGCGGGTTCCACATTGCAAATAATAATCGCTATTTCACAGCCGTGTCCTCCTGGCCACTTAGGTGATAGGCCACCCAGCTATCTCTTCTCTCCCACAGTGTGGACAGGGAGAAAAAAAGGACTCCAGTGGACCCTGACACCTACTGAAAGTGTTATTCATCTCTTTTCATGGAAGCCCTTTTAGGACTCCCACCTCCCTCCCCCGAAAAACGACCCTTTTCTTTTTAAATAAAGAAATCAATGCAACCTTTTTTTTTTTTTTAATTCTTTCTCCACACATTTTTCTATGAGATGTGTTCTCATCACGATGTTGATGGCATCTGTGGGTGTAGCGCTTCACGCTGAGTGGGGTTATGTCACCCTGTCGTTGCAGGATTGCGCATTTATCTCATTCTCCCAAACAGATGCAGGCATTCGCACCCCCTGACCGCTGCCTTTGATGCGGACGTCCTGATTCATTAGCAGTCATTTGTAACTGTGACGTGTCACGCGTTTAAAGATGTAAAGAGAAAGGAGTGAATTAGGAATGTATGGATACTGCTGTCTCTGTGTTCAATAATAATCAAGCACCCTTTTATCTTAAACAACTCATAGTACCGCATCACCCCAATAGATCTCCTCTCTCTCAGTGTGCTGGTTTACTTAGAGTATTAGAAAGTAGAACGGGAGGCAGGCCTCTCTTATGTGGGACCAGCTTCCAGAACCCAAACTGGGAGTTGTGGAACCAGCTCCCAGCTTGGGTTCGGGAACTAGACACCCTCTCCACTTTTAAGATTGGACTTGAAACTACTGTCTTTTTTGATAAAGCTTCTAGTTACGGCTGACTCGATTGACTCTGCACCCTCTCTTAGTCCTGCTGCAACAGGTTTAGGCTGCTAGAGGAGGCTCTTTTTTTACTTTTGTAAAAACTTTAGAAATCAAGTGTAAATGTCAAATTTGATGGAATAAATTGTCTTTCTGGACTCACAAAAGTATGGAGATGCACGCAAATGCACAAAAAGGCAAGGCTTCTGGATGTGTGAGGATTTCAGCTTCCAGTCAGTTATAATGCTACAAGGTGCCATTCGCGTATAACTAGATAATAAGAATGAGGCAGAGGGAACTCTGTGTCACTCTGTGTCTCTGTGCTGAATACCAGACTAGATTTGTTACTTTGTTTTGGCATAAAAAGGTGACGCAATTTTTAAGTGAGCCCAAATGCTGTGTGCTGTCCCTGTATGTGTTATATGTCATCTACTGTACTCTCTGCCCTGCATGCATTTATGTACGAATGTGCGGGTTTTGTGCACATTCATATCTTTGGTCTTCGATGTTCTAAAAGCAAATAAGCTTGATACTGTAGCAGCCCACGGGACACAGAAGAAATAGATGGCATTCATACGCTTTGTATTATACCCTCCCTACACACACACACACACACACACACACATATGTAAACAGACAACCACCACCACTACTTCCTCTTACACACACACTCCCACTTGCCTCTTTCTCTCATTATATCATGTGGGCATGAACCAAAATAAAACGGTGAATAAGGGCTGAAAAGACAGGGAGGTATTCTCTTTCTAGGCTGTTATGAAATGGATGGATATCTGGCCAGTGTGAGATAAAACAAAAGCCAGTGCTGTCATTTGAAACAAAAACAAAAAAAACACAGAACAAGCCCTGCAGGGATGTGCGTTTTCTCTCAACGTTTATGGTCGTGTCTTTTTCTTTTTTCTTTTTTAAAAAAATGGATTTTCCGACTCTGCACCATCGGCCAGCTGCTTTCAAGGCTGCGACGACCCACTTGATCCCAAACTCTCACATCCTTCCATCACTCCGAATGACTTCGCAGAGGCTCTCTGACACCAACCGGCGTGCACTCAATCTCGCTTTAAATAAGCAGCTTTTAAAAAAAAAAAAAAATGCATTTGCTGACACGCATACGCACTCCACCCACGCCTCCATATGCTGCTTTAACTTATACACACAGTTCACAACAACCAATAATGAGCTGTCCAGAACTGCCAGAAGAAAAAAAGAAAAAAAAACTCACGGATGTTTGTGGCCCTGGCGACATAGTGCTGCGAATGCATCCCTAGGGCCTCTTCCCCGCGATACTGCTCACCTGGACACCCGCCCTGCAGCACATTGGCGACGACCCTGTCAGACAGAGAGATGGATGAGGCGTGCAGACATGAGGAACTGTGCATGACATGGCTAATTTAATTATTCAGTTCGACTGTACCGGTGCACACTGTCGTTTCAGCTGCACCTCACATTATGAGGTGCACCACACATTATGAGGTGCAGCTGACCAGAAAAATTTGTTTCCACGATGAGTGGAAAAGATTTCCTTTCAGTTGTTCCCTTTTATTTATTTATTTTTACTGTAATTATTGCACATTCAGTCACACCTACTGAATTGCAACACTATGAAGGTGTAAAAACAAGCAAATGATCTCCAGTCAAGAGTGATACACAATGGAGTGCAATGCCACCTTACTCTACTGAAAGACACCCCTCCGCCCCTCACATGAGAGGAGAGCAGCTCATAATGTTACGCTGTGCCACAACAGATGGATAGACTGGAGTGGAAGGAATATGCGGTATCAGTTCCTGTTCATAAAGACTCTTAATAACAGAAGATGCGATACATTGCTCTTGTTGCCCGGAAACCACGTGTGTGAAGTGTAACATGCACAAGTTCATCTATGATGTTTTATGGCACGGAGAGCTGACAAATTAAAGGAAAATTTAGACTGAGTGTGATGCCAAGGCCACCACGTGAAGCCAAAATAGCTTCGATGTTCTTTTTGCATGTTGGCCTTGGCTTGCTCTTCGCTCTCCAAGTCTTTGCTCTAGACCAAAATGAGCTAACCTCTAATTTGTGGACAACATTGGTCTGGCTTCTCGACACTTAGTTAGACTTTTCTATGACTAGATCACAACCTAAGACACATCATTTTGATACTCAGTGACCCAAACCTGTAGAAGAGCACTCTTATCGGGAAGAAAGGGGTTTGTCATAAGACAAAGGTGGTAAACTTTGCAGTAAGTCTTTCCACTAAAGGGAGACAAGGAGACCCCCACCCTAATGAAGAGGTCAAGGGTTTGAGTTTTTTCTTTAATTTAATTTCATAAATTTATGTGTGTGTGTGGTGGTGGTGGTGGTGGGGTGCTCTGTTAATACGACAAGCACACGTCCACACGTTGCGCGCTCCAGATCATTGCGCGCGTAGGCTATTACTGCAAGTCTCTTTGTAAACAAGCGCACCGAGAGAATCGGGCAGAGAGGGAGGGAGGGAGGAAGCGGGAGATAGACACACACAGATAGAAGAGAGAGAGAGAGAGAAACCAAGAAAGAAAGAGACCCACCTATACATATTCTCTCTCTGGGGTCGGTGCGCCTTTTCCAGCCCCAGCTTGGTGAAAATCCCCACAAGAGCCATAATCGCCACTACTCCACAAATGACGTAAACTATTAAGTTCGTCTTGTCTTTGGTGCTGTCGTGAGGCTTGTTCGTTTTCTTGTAGGGTGTCTGCCCGCTCTTCATCCACATCGGGGTGTCATAATTTGTACAGGTTTCCTGGTCGAGCCGCGACTCCTTGATGGAGCAGCAGAAGCGGAAGCCACAGGTACCGCAGCAGTACAAATACACGCCCGTTTTGCAGATGAACGGCGGGTCATACTGGCCCATCACGTCGTAGTAACCCCGACACCTTTCCTCCGTGTGCGGGGTCTGCTCGGACACGCTCTCCTCCGGCGTGGAGCCGTTCGAGGTGGCGATCATTACGAATCCCCCGAGCGCTCCTGGAATCCCGCCAGCCTTGCACACGAGAGCCATAAGTTTGAGCAACAAGAAGCAGGGGAGAAAGTGTTTCCCTCTCATTGTGCTCTCTCCTCCGTTCAACTTCGCGCGGAAACGAAAAGACCTGAAGAGAGGGGACAGGGCGCACGGTCATGATATGCCGAAAAGTCCAGAAATATCCGCGCTGATGAACATCTTTGCTCGCGTATCTTTATCCACAAACAAACGCGCGGAATAAAAAGAACAAACAAAACAAAAAACCCTATGTGGATTAAACTTGACTTAACTGAACTCCTCTCCAGCGAGTGCGCATTTAGACGCCTTTCCCAGAAGGTTTTTGTCTTTTTTATCAGGCTCAGATTTTGCGTTTTCGGGAGTGCATCACTTCACTCCTCTGTCTGTGCGCACTTACGCACGGGAGTAGGCAGAGACACAAGCCGCACCGAGGATGAGAGCGCAGTGAGCGAATAGAAGAGCCGAGGGTGGGAGAGCCTGGTGCACACACACACACACACACACACACAAACGGAGAGGAGGAGGAAAACAGGGGGAGGGAGTGAGATTGCAAGGGCTGACTCCGAGGGAGAGAGAGAGAGAGCCTTTATTGTGAAATATTATGATAAAAGCGTCTATGCACATCACTATTACGCTCTGCGAGGAAAGTCGTGGGAGCCCCATTTTTTTTTAATACTTCCAGTCGTAGGTTGCCATTGTTGGAGAAATCCTGAAATCACAAGTAGCTTAATGTGTTACAATAGGCAGCGGCTGGCAGAGCTTCTAAGAACAGGTGATACATTTTGAAACAACAAAAACAAAAAACCACACAACACCTATAGATCCCAGGGGACATCTATAGGAGACAGCAATCTGGCCCATCAAGACCATAACCAAGAGACACAACCCCGTAACGAGTGATATTCCACCACAGGCAAATGTCTCACTCTTGTGGTTTTTGCCAAAGGTGCTCGGAACAGAAAAATATAAAATGAAAGTTTTTTAAAAAGAAAAATGTACGTATCTGTCTGCCTCGGAGCACAATCCTCACAATTTGTATCAATAAACCAGGCGAAACAAGAGAAATCTGAGAATTTGTTTCGGGAAAAGGGAAAATTCAATAATTTACCAAAAAATAGAGACCCCCCCCCTCCAAAAAACAAACAAACAACCAAACAAAAAACAACACAAAACAAAAATAAAGTTATGAATGTTTTGGCTTGTAGGGATATTAATCCACCCGGACTCTTGTAGAGTGAGTTTCCCAGTCTTTTCTTTGTGGCGCTCAAAGCGCAACACAAAGTAATTTTCTTCTATCTATCTATCTATCTATCTATCTATCTATCTATCTATCTATCTATCTATCTATCTATCTATCTATCTATCTATCTATCTATCTATCT